GCTAAGCCGATTTTTTACATGATATATCACAATATTTTAAATTAAGACGGTAATAAAGGTGAACTTCGATATGTCTGCTCCTTGCACCTGCTTCTTTATCTCAACAGGCATAGAATATCAAATTCATACAGAAGAAAATCAATATGTAATAAATCAATTTATTATTATATAACAATCTACACCTTATATTACTATTATAAATTAAATACTATTTATCAATTGTAAATTAATTCCAAAATTTTATTAATCCAAATTTTAATCTCTTTATATTCTATAAACTATCATTCAAGTCAATCTTTTAGCAAGACATGGCAATTATAACTTTGCATGTTTATAACAATGATTACAATATCATTTACAATAGGACTTTTGATGATTATGTGGTTTATAGCAATGTGACGTTGGATTACTCAATTTGTCAGAAAACAAAGAAAAATTATTCATAAACGTAACTACCCACTATACTTAAAATGATACAAAGCGTTGGTTCTTATGATATTTGCAATATAATTGATTAAAAAAATTTGAAATTTAAGTAATCTGTTAAATAAATAATAATTATATTGTCCTGCTATAATTATATTCATATTACTTGATTTAACAAAAATTTATTGTAATAAAATCTTAAACTCATCCCCTTAAATTTTTAGAATTGCTCTAGAACTGCCCATTTAATCTCAAATAATTTTGATAAAAAAAGGGGGTTACAGTTATTATTTGCATCATAAATGCAGTGTAGTTATAGTAGAGCGCTATTTTTTTCCGAAGCTGTAGCTTTAGCGCGCTTTTTAAAAAAAAATGCGATACCGGTATCTTGCTACTATCTATTTTATATAATAAATAGACATTAAAATTATTAAAATATAATTATAATTTTATAAAATTTTTAAATTATAATTTTGTTATTTATTTAATTTTGAAATTTATAATTAAAAATCTGCCTTATAAATCTTTTTTCAAAATAATTTATAATGTCGATGACAGAAATTGATATTGTAGATTTGATGCAAATCATATCAACAAAGTAATTTCCAATATGGAATTACTTTTTCCTAAATTCACAAAATATCTTAAAAATTAACACATGGTATAAATTTCGTTGTAAGCTGTGCCGGAGGGTTTATCATCAAACAAGATTAGTAGCTCGAACTTGAATAAACATTTAAGTAATATATCAAACAAATTTAATATCAATGTGTGGTCCAATCCTTAAATTTAAAATAATTTAAATCAAAGCTGTATCTATATTAGTTTTTGACTTAAATGAGTTTGTGAAAGTTAATTTCTTGGCCCATCCCAAACATGTCATATTTCAACTGTCCAGAAGATATTATTCAAGAATTATATTATAAATTAAAAATTACAATAAATAATTAAATTATTGTTAAATACAATTAACATTGTTTATTAATGAATTTTGTATTGTAGAAGACTTAAGGCTTAAAACGATATAATATATTTAATATTAAATTGATGTTTTGAAAAGATATAAATGATTTTTATTTTAATATTAAATTGATGTATATATACTTAAATAATTATGATAACTTTCACTTTTGTTGTTTTTATTTTTGATCTTAGTTGAAAATAAAGAACTAAATTATTAAGAATTCTAAAATTGATGATATATTATTAACCGTCAATCTTCCGTAGTTATTCAATAAAATCGTCCACAATTTTTTCTATATTACTTATTCTTGTTCATTAATTATCATCTCATTTTATCCAAGAATCAACTTTTTAATGATAATATTTTATAAATTATTATCTTAATTATGTATATGGTAAACACATTAAACATAGACTTATTAAATAAATGTTGCTATTTTGCAAATGGCAATTGTTTTTAAGATATTTTTTTAATCGTTGAACAGTCTTTTTAAAATAAGTCTTCTGTTAACCCTCATTAATTAGCGCGAAATCATAGCCAATTAAAAAAAATATGCTGTATTTTTGTATTCTAAGCCGCGAATTTGCACTAATTGTGTAAGGGGAAGTATCATCAATATAGGAAAACTACTTTTGATATAATTGTATGTCCATTGACATTGAATACATATAGATAACTAATAGAATTTGATTATTCTATGACTATGGTCTTTAACGGAAGAAAACTCAGGCTGCATTCAAAGTGGAGACGGATCCGTTTTTTACATCCGTTCCGTCAAAAGTCAATATCATATGATATATATATTGATTTTCATTTTTAAAAAATAATAAGTAACGTTATAACGCTCTATATAATTTGCCGGATCAAAAAGTCAAAATGTTTTGACTTCAAAATTTGCCGGATCCGTTTTAAGACGAAAGGAATCGGAACGGACGCACCTTGAACATATATATCATTTTTAAAGAGATTGACTTTTGACGGAACGGATGTAAAAAACGGATCCTTCTCCACTTTGAATGCAGCATTTAAATTTTTTAAATGTTTGATCCGGTACAATTAATTTTGGATGTATATGAATATTTATGGTAGATTTACATAAGAAAATTTCGGATAAGTGTGTGATATGTGCTTAAAATTTTCGAATGTATTTATAAATATTAATTTAAAATAGTAATGATCTAAAATTATAATTAATTTCATCTACAAATAATAGAGAAAAGAATTTTATAATTCCTATATACGTTGTTTTGCCCAAAATATTAATTAGTTAGAGCTAAATACTTAAATTTATAGCATAACATTAAATAGTAAATAAAAAAATTTTGAGTCCAAGATTTCTTTATTGAAAGCATTTTTAAAGTGGATGAAAACATATAATAGGGACGGGACTATATTTAAAAATATTTGCCGTAGGCGGGGACTCGGGCCGAAACATTTTGATTTTGTATATCTTGGTGATAGCCTAAACACATTGCTCTAGGCCTAAGTTGCGAGCGGGTAGGCTATTATTCTAAAAAAATAATAGTGGGCACCCTAAAATGGGCAAAATACAGGAGTGAATTTTGTTATTCCAAGAATATGAAAAATATTTTTTATTCTTTGAAAGCTAAGCATCTTATTAGTTTATATCGAAGCATTTCTTATATAACACATAATATTATTAAAATAGAATAACCATATATAAAGTTATTTAAAAATTGAAATCTATTGCAAAAAATATATATTGAATAAAAAATGTCGTAATTTTTTTAGAATGCATTCATAATTATATAAAAACTAGCTGATAGCCCGTAAGAATAACGAGGAATCATCCATCAATAAATGAAGGAGAATCATTATTTTCTCTTTTATTTTAATTAGCTTATATTTGATACCCATATCAAATTTTTATCATCTACCCACCCCTCCCTCCCCTAGAGCATAATTAAAACCATTAGTGCCAAGAGTTCCTACTAGTATTTTAGTTAAAATATTCTTTGCTTTGATACTCATATATATATATTGATTGACATGATAAAAATATTCCTGACCCCCCTAGTCCTAGATCCCCCACCCAATAAAGCATTATCATGACAATTAAAATATTTTTTAATTACCTTATTAACCATATCAAATTTTTATTTTTTCACTCATCTCCACAGCCCACTCATTCCCAGAACCAAGTCTAACCCATGAACACCAAGAGTGAATATTATTATTCATACAAAAAATATTTTAGCTTTTATTTGTATATCGATATTTTGTGCTGATAAAAATATTCCTGGACCCTCAAGGCCTAGATTTATAAATTAAGTGGGAGAGGTTGACCTCCATTGGATAAATCTTTTGATTAGCTAATACCTATATTGAACATATCTATCCGTATAAAGCTAGGAAAAAACAATCAAGCTGGCGGATTAGTATAGTCATATGATGGAAAATAAATAATATTAGATAAATTTTATATTTTTCGTTGATACCAAAGTGTCTTCTGTTTTCCTTCAATATAATTAATTCCAATTATTTATCTCCCTAGTTTCTTAGCAATTTTCATATGTTCCCCGTTAGAAGTATTAAATAAACATTCATTAAGAAATTATAAAAGAGATTTAGAACCCACCAGGCATATCCTTATTTGGAAGATGCCTTAAAGACAGATTGGATAATTTAAATATCATACAACATGGCAATATCTGATAAAAATTCACCACTTTATAATAAGATAATATTTGTTTTATAAAGAAAGAGTTATCACAATTTAATATAATAGAATTAAATCAAATTAAAAACCAATTCCATTGCAATTAAAAATGACCAATTCCTTGAGATGGATGGTAATATCAGAATTTGCTTGTTATTGATAACTCGGACATAATATTTAATCAATATTAATATATTCTTTTTTATATATAAGTTTTAATATTTTACATATATATATAATTTTTTAATATATATATTAATATTAAGTTATATGCTCATATGAAATAAAATAAATTTTACATTCAAGTATTTTTATTTATAATATAAAAAAGCTTTAAATAGAAGTATATCAAAATGTATCTTAAAAAGTATCTAAAAACAGGTACAGATACTTTAATCAAAAATCTATCTAGATACAGATACCATATTTTTATATCTAGATACTTTAACAACTCTGGTAAACAATAATAATTTAAAATTTTTAAAAAAATTATTGCATAAATTTTTTTCCCCTTATAAATCGAATCGATACATATCAGTTCAAGATTGTGAAAGACATTTTTTTCATGTAAAGGAATATATAGTTCCTTGCTTACCTGACGCCCCCATTAATATTACAATAACAATATATAAATGGGCTATAATAATTTTTTAGCATTATTTTATAATATACTTTTATGCAATACCATTGATGCACAAAATTATTTTAAGCAAATAAATTTATTTAGAATTTTTTAAAAAATTATTTTTTTATATGCGTTCGTTTTGAATGAGAATTTGTTCGAAAGGGTAATTATTTTTTTATATGATATTCAATTGAATGATAACAAAGTATAAAAAATGTTTATATGACATTTTTGGATTTTGCTTGATATTTTTTACAAATCTTTTATAATATATATTTTTCCTCTTTTTAACTAAAATTTTGATGTGCCTTTTAAATAAAAATAAATTTTTATAATATATTTATTAAAATTTGAGTTTATTTTTATAATAACATTTGAATCAATTTATCGATAATTATCAATGAGTTTTTAACTACAAAAAAAAATAATAATATTAATATGCAATAAATAAAAAAAGAACAATTTTAATCTAATCACAATCAAAATACAGTATGTCTTTCGATGTGGGCGAATGTAACATATCCGAAATTATTTTTAGATCCCGATTAATAGCTTCAATATGATCTTGATCACTGACGCCACTTTTCTTTATGTTTTTATGTTTCATCGACGGCTGCAAATATAACGTGTTAAATTCTAAGCAACTCTCTATGAAACTATCGTTGACGTGATTATTTTTACCCTTTAAAAAAATTAACGTAAATAAATTCTTTCATTTTTAAATTCTAAATAAAATAATACCGATTTCATTAAATATTTCTTAAATTCCCAAAAAGTATCATCATTACAATCAATTTCTCCCAATAGCGAACTTTCGTGATAAAAGATGCGACGATAGTTTGGGTAGTCGCTACTCTTAAAAACGCGTAATACAATATTTAAAGTCGTATAGAGAAGTGATTTTTGGCTTGAATCGTTATTTGACGATGTATCGATTTCGTAGGCACTTTCTTCATGTAATGCTAATATATAATTATTTAATAATATAAATTTATTATAGAAATTAAGGTTACGTATTAATAAAATTAGATAGGGACCCGGAGCAACCCGAACCGTTATATCGGAATGAACCTTTATAATTTTTTGAACGGTAACTGAACTTTTATGCCAGATTACTATAAAGAGCGAACCGAACCTTTATGACACAGACTCCCGTGGGGAGTTTTTCTTTTCAAGCTTTCCAGAATCAAATATATTTTCATATTTATTTTATTCCCAAATGTAAAATAAAACAATAGTATGCAAATCATTTATCTTTTTTGCCTTTCTGTTTTTTATTTTAAATTCTTTTAATAATAAATAAATATTGTAAAACCTGAAAGAAACCCTCATAATTTTAACCCTTAATTTAACAGAACCTTTATACATAACGGTTCGGGTCTCTGAAATTAGGTGATATAATATATAGGCACACATGTCATGTTTCAGAGTACAAGCTCCTATTGGTCAAAATAAAAAAAAACATTTATATAAATAAGCCATATTTTTATTTTATTGATATATGTATATTGAAGGCAGTGTTGCTGAAGTAGTGTGCCACAAGTAGGGGTAGCTTTAGCAAACAATAATAATCCTTTATTTTAATTAATTTAATTTTGATTAAATTTATATTAAAAATATGCAATTAAATCTAGTTTTCAAAATAATTAAAATTTTAAAATATAAACAATAGATATTGATATTGAAGATAATTTATAATTTTGGTATAGAATCGACAAGGTTTTAATTTTTAAATAAATGCAATCAATGACAATCAATATTATCATTATGATGAATCCGAAGAGTATACAATACGATAGTATTTTAATAAATTTGATTTACAAGTTATATTTATTACTAATTCCTTCAAGTTGCTAACATAATCTATTATTAGAATCAGTTAATAAAAAAAATTTAATTGGGGTTTAATTTAAAAGTAGTTAACAAATATCTTAATATAATACGTATATTTACCTAAATTTTTGATCTCATTTAAAAGCTTTTCAATCGTAATCCCCATATCATTATCATGGCAGAATTGCTTTAAATCGCCATCGTCGTATATTCGTTTTAAAAAATTACTGAAATTTCCTAATACCGGATAGAATACTAATTTTATAAAATTTGAACAAACCGATCTGTTTAAAACATTGAAAGCTTCGCAGGCTTCGTCAAAATTTAAGCTCCCACAGACTTTTGCCAAATATTGGAGAGAAAGATCCTTCATTATTTATAATAGTAAAATAATTATTATTTAAAAAATAATAAATCCTTCTTTCTTAGATAGCGATTTTGATATAAAAATTAAACATACAAACTAAAGTTGTGAAAGTAACCGGTTGATTTTATTCGCGCGAAAAAAAATAACTAAGTAAGTTATATTTTTTTGGTAATGTAGCAACAAAAGCAACTAATTACTCTATATCTTTTTCCCAGTCACATAGCGACATTTATCAAACACATGGTGATCATTTTTTCATAGTGGTCTTTTTGAAATTTCGTAAAGTCTTTTTTCTATATTAATTGATCCAGATAGAACAATAAGTTTTTGAAAAAGGACACTATGTGACTTAAAAAAGGCTACATACATCAATAATCGGTAAGTATCATTCTTAAATTTATTTTGATTTTTATAAGGATCCTTCATATAATTATAAAATACAAAATTCATAGGATAGATGCTTTAAACTTGCTGATATATATTTCCGGTTAAATCAAATTTTAACAATTTAAAAATCACTCTCGTGATTCAAAATTGAGATTCTGATTCCCATTGATTCCATATTCCAATACGACATAAACAATATATTAAAAATAAATTGCTGAATAGGTAACCAATAACCCAATTAATAATTATTTTTTAAAATATTTATTTTCTTAAAAAAATTATTTGTCAAAAATAACTATATGCTGTGATAAGAATAAAAAGATTTAAAATAAAAATAAACATGCACTTTATATAAACCCTTTTATGAAAAATATGGTTTTATTTTTCAATGCAATTATTTCTTTATATAAATTGTATTATATCATTAATATTTCTTTGATTAAAAATTTTGTATCACACAATTATTTTGTGCAATAAAAAAAATTTATATTGAAAAAGATGAGTTATACAAATTATTTTATAAGGTAAGTAACCTATAATGTAACTAGTTACTTTTGAAAAATTTAATACTTCAAAGGATCTAACTAGTAACTGTAATTATTTACTTTTAAGAATCAAAAAACAAGGACTAATTAAATGCTTTTTTCAAATTAAATGTTTGAAGTGCTACTTTTAGAGTCTGGCATAATGTATTTGATGCATTTTGTGGTAAAGATCCTAATTCTAACATTGCATGTAGAAATGGAAATGGGTCAATCATAAGAAGTGTACGAGTGTCTGTAGGTACAGGATTTAGAAATTTATCAGCCACTTCATCGATTGTTTGAAGTATTGAATCTGGATATTTATAAATTAAACAAATTATATACATCATAATAAATTAGAATTTTATAAATAATAAAATTAACTAAAATATTATCCGAATCATTAAAATATGATAAAATAAATAAAATACATTTTAAAAACTAATGGAACATTTTAATTCAAATTTATTTAATCAATATTATGTATTTGATAAAATAAAGATTTTTTAAATTTTACCATTTATTTCTTCCGTAGTTGACATTATTATTAAAAACGAACATATATGGGAAGATACGTTAAAAATGCATTTCAAAATATCCTCCGGTTCGAGGGTTTTCGAATCATCTCTTTTTGGGTAAGAATAATTTATATTTTCCTGCTTATCCTTCACGTGATTGTAAATGTCCAGAGAGCATTTGAGGCACGAATGTAAAATAGGTAAAGTTTCATTCATAATTATTCCTGTTGACTGATAATCCTTAAAAGTGCCTAGAAAATCCGAATATTGATTCAAAAGTAAATAACTGTTTAAATAAAAAACTGATGCCGATGACTTGATACATCGCGCGTTACACCGTCCTTCTAAGAAAATTACATTGTCGATCAAATATAAATAGGCTTTGATTACCTCGCCGAGCAATAACAGCTGATAATCTGGAGAAGATTCGGCTGATGGTTCGTTAGCAGCTCTTAGGCGCGTTAATTTTTGCAGAAGCGAAATACAATTACCCATCAAACCTTCTAAAAATAAGGTATCTAGACATGACGAATGAGAATCTACAAAATTGCTTTGAAACATTAGAAGGATAGCTTTCTGGCATGGCCAGTACTTTGATAATAACTCTCTGTTGAAATCGGACATCTTGTATATAATTAAAAAATAAATATCCAAAATATATTTTCATAGCTAGTTTTTTTCTTTTCTTTATTCCTCTCTTTTTCAGAGATTTAAAAATCATATAAATTTTGATTTTTTTAAAATAAACATGCAAATTAAAAGTGATCCTATTTAGTGTTGGGAAATCAGTTGATTAACTAGACTTTAATAAAATCCCGAAGTTAAGCCAAAACAAATCGGCTCAAACATCGGCTAAGCTAAGTAGAGTAGTGTCAAAAATACTAGAGTTGGGTCAATTTTTAGAAATGGTCCGAATAAGATTTTAGCCAAAATTGGAGATTTTAATCATAGATAGCAGAAACTCTATATATGTAAAATCTGGAGGCATACATAACATTATTTTAAAATTAAAATCTTAATCGGACCGTTTTTAAAAATCGACCAAAGTTTTTTTTAACGACACTAGTGTGAAAGTCGCCTTGTGTTAGAATGTCTCACCACCACTAATTGGGATAATGTATAGTAATAAATTTTGAAACAAATAATGATCTTATTTAGTTCCTTTTATTATGTAGTAGATAAGCTATTTTAATTTTATTATAGAAAAAATCTAAAATGTAAAAAGAGGGCTGGGGAAGTATAATGATTATTTTTATTTTTACTTTGCTTGAATCCAATATAAATCGAGCAAGATTGTCAAGGTAATATTTTATCCAATTATGCTGACACATCGATGTTTGGTTATCGTCATAAACTTGACACATGTCAATAAGCACGGGAAGTTCGCAACAATCTAAATGAGGTTTTAGGTTAATAATCTTATTATCGCCATCCAATAAATTAAGCAAGGATTGAATACCGCTTAAGTGCGGGAAATCGCAGGGGGAAGTGACAATGAGGGGATTAGAATCGCGTATTGCAGGAGTAAAACGTAGTAGAATTTCGAATAATTTCCAGTAATGGATGCGTTAAGAAAATTATCAAGAAGTTTTTCAATTCCTCGCCGAAGAAATTCAAGTACCTTTTAATATTTTTTTTAAAATAGTTTGGTCCTTAATAAAGGTTATATTACCAGCTGTTTATTTTTTAACTTTTACTTTTGGTTAGCATTAATGTTTTAATGCAACTATCATAAGTTGCTTTGTTGGACGGTTCCATCAAAAATTGATTAAAGAAAGGTTAAAGTTTTGGACATAGAGTAAAACATGCGAGAAATAGTTTTTATTTTAGAAAAAATGTTGCTTAGTTCTGCCCTTATAAAAAGCTATCATATATTCCCATCTTTTAATCAATTTTTTTTTAATGAATTATTTAAAAATGGATTAACCGAGATATAATTTTAATAAATCAACAGGATATATATATATATATATAGTCCAGTAAAATAAATAAATCCAAAAAGCACCAATTTAAAAAAATAAACAAGTTGAAGCTAAAGAATTCTAACAAGAGATACACTGAACCACTCTTCCAGCTAATATCTGGCAGTGATACTTACAAAAATTCCTATAAAAAACGACCCATAACTGTTGTGAAGCAATCAAGGGATATTTTTTTAAAACCTATTTTTAATATATAAATTTATATTTTAGACAGAACTACTGTGATTCTCCTGCATTGTACTTTTAAGATATTTATTTTTAATATATTTTTTAATTATAATTTTTGTAGCTCCCCTATAAAAGGGGAGAAAATTGTAAAATTTTTTGCATTTAAAATAAAATTCTAGTGTTGTTGAACGGCTCGATTTTGAGCTAATTTTTAAATGGCTAACACAGTATTTTATCCAAAAATATTACGCAAGCCTGAAAATTTTGTTCATAGAAAGAGCAAAGGTCTAGACATATAGTATCGAAATTTCGAGACTTAGCCAATATTTTTCTGGCGAAAATATTGAGTTAGCCGTTTTTAAAAATCGGCTCAAAACGAACCGTTTAACAACATTATAAAATCCATGTGCATTTTTATGAATATTCATTTTAAATAAGTGGACAGCCAATAATAATAATAACATTAACCAACCATATTTTATTTAAATTCATCAATTTTTATTTTATATCTAATACATTTAATTAATATGATTTATATTATTGTAATAAAATTATAATGAAATAAAATATTTTTAAAAATTGATTATTTTTTCTTCCTTCTTTTTTTTAGAAAAAAGAGGCCATTTATTTGGAGAATATATAATACAATAAAATTATAATTTCTTAAAAGTGAACAAAAAGGTAGGGGAGACTGGGGTTAGGTAAACCACGGAGCTTGGAAAACCACTTAATCTCATCTTAAAATTAAATAAACCAGAAGATTAAAATTTTATATAGTTTTCATTAGTATACATCTATGGACAAAATATATTTTAAAATAATTAAATACTAAAAAATTTATTTAGATATAAAATTTTGATAAAATTTTTAAAAGATTTTTACATGACAGAATTTTAATTTTTATTAAATATATGATCTTTTATATGTAAATTAAATTTTATTACAAAGTTTAAACATTCTTCTATAATTTGGGTAAGTTTTATGAGTATTTATCAAATCTAGATATTATTTTAATCATGATTTGTCAATTTAGAGCTAGCAGGGTTTGCTAAACCATACACGTCAATTATAGCAATTAATAATGAAAAAAATTCAAAATCTTGAAAAGGCAATTTTATGGCTGTTTATGATTGGTATTTAGGATTTATGCTAAGAAATCTTAATCTCTCCTTAAAATTCATATTTTTTTATGTCCAAAATGATTATTAAATTAACCAAAGTTAAGTTTCAATTTTTATATATAATTAGCTTCAATTTATAAGTATTATGATATTTTGAACAATAAAATTATTTTATACATATCATTATTAATAAATAAAAATGCATTTCAATTTATTATGGCCTAAAAAAACCAATGGTTTAAGAAGCCCCTTGTAGTGGTTTGCCTCACCCCGCTATTGGGGCTTGTTAAACAAAATTTTCACTTTTACAAAAAAAAAAATATTTTTTTATATAATTATATTCTTAAGATTTTTTATTAGGCACCTTTATAGAGTATAGTTTTAGGTATCCAATCATATATTATCTATAAAACAAGAGCTATAGCCAATTTTGTAAAAATTGGTTCAACTAACCCCAGTCTACTTAAAACTTTTTTAAAAAAATATTAAATGTGTTTTACAAAAAAAAAGAAACATGAGAGGAGTCCTTACCCATATTAATTTAATCAAAATATTATAATTTAGTATTGGTCTATGGTATTGGAAAAAAATTAATAAGTATTTGTCAAAAATCAACAAATTATCCTATAATATGGGTCAATGCCATGAGCATTTTGTTGATACCAAAAGTGGGTTATTAGTTGTATCTCTGATTCTATATTAATAACTTTAATATAGGAATGTGTCAAAAATGGTTTTCTAGATTACTAATGTTATTTTTTTAATATCAATACATAAAAAAATGGTTTAATTAAAAAAAATCTAGGGTGGAAATAAAAATATAAAAAATTCTGGGTTTGGATAATTTTCAGAAAAATTAATTTTAAGGTATATCAATTTATCAGGAAAAAAATTGATATAATAAAATGTTCAATATTCTTTTCAATTTCCTTTTGATTTCAAAATGCAGCTAAAATTTATAAATAAACTCTACATATAAAATGATATGATTTCAAATTATTACTTGAGGATTTCTGATATATATTGATAAAAGAATAATAATTTTTCATTTTTCCCTGTATTTACAGCCTGAGATTTAAAAATTTGAAGCAAATGTTCAATTATTTCATAGTCTTTATTATCTGAGTGATGATGGATAATGATCATGTGTGTAATTATTATTTGTAGTATTGCCAACTTAAGTTGATTTTTGGAAAGAGGAAGAATTAAATATATTTCATAAATGTTTGAGATGAGATCTTTATTGTTATGGCAAAATTTAGTAAAAAATGGACCCTCATGATTTTTTATCCTAAGGTGGTATAAATTATGTAGAATGTCAATTAATGTTGTAAATTCATTATTTAATAAAGTATCCTTTTGTTGAATATTTTTGAGATTATTTGAGTGGATTAGGAGTCTTTGATAAAATTCATGAGTAACCAATAATGAAGATATTTTTAACTCATAACATATAAAATTAGTTAAAATTTTAGAAGCTTTTTGCCTAATATATAAACTTTCTACAACACAACAATCAAAGATAAATATTTTGATATCTATAAAATCAAAATTATATCAGATTAAATAAAATTTTTATTTACCTATTTTCCTTAAGAAAAGAATTCCATTAACATATTTAGTAATTTTCAAAATAAAATTTAACCAGATGTCTAAAAGTGATAGGCTATTTTCAAAGGTAAAATATTTTTCAACAAGCTAAAATATAATGTAATAAAAATGCAAATAAATATAAATTAACTTTTGTCAAAATTTTAATAAAAGGTTCATCTAATAGAAGATTATTTTGTTGAAGAAGTTGGGAAGAAAAAATTAGGAAAAATTTATATTCATACAATGATGTATTTTTTATATCAATATCTAAAACATGATGATGGAAGAGATTTTTCAAAATATCTTTTCCTGAACAACTAAAATCATAAACTCAATTAATTAAAAACCTATAATTTTGAATATATTATTAGTGAGTTCTAAGAAGTTTGATAAGTATATAGGATCATATGAAGAAAAAGACTTAACATTATCAATTATGTCTATTAAAGTTTTTAAATTTAAACTTTGAACCATATTTGTATTTTGAATAGATGAAATTTATAAAGTATAAAATTTTGCTAAACCTCATCTCGGTTGGAAGTTATACATATCGTAAAATAAAATCTGATAAACAGACTTCATATTCTATTATCAAAATTTTACTCTTCTCCTGGCCAGAGATATTACCATTATATGATATCCTTATTTTTCTTTAAATTCCTAACAACCTATTTATTCTATCTATCTTTCCTTCACTCCCTCGCCGCAGTTGTATCTGTTGCTTTTTTCCTTCTTCTTTGTATTTCCCTTCTCTAACTCCTTATTTTCTTATCATACTCCATTATCTCCCCTATTCAATCTATTTATCCGCTCCATTCGTTATTTCTCTCTTTCAAGTTTTCTTTTTCTCCTTCAGTCTTATTTTATGCATTATTGAACTCTTTCTCTTTATTTCTTCTCAATTTGGCTTTTATATTGTTGCCCCTAATTATTTGTCAAAACTTCCTTCTTTTTGTCCTTCGTCTATTCATTCTTGTTTGCTATCACCCCCCCCTCCCAAACCTTTTATTTAATTCTCTATATGCATTTATTTTTGTTTCATTACTTGTCTTCTTCATCTTCTTTTTCTATTTCAATTTTTTTATTCATTCCCCGCTTGAATATAATCTAAAAAAAATTAATCCGTTTCGGATTTCTTTTAAAAATAATTTGTCCAGGCCACAGATTTTTTTATTTTCGGAATCCTTTTTCATCGAAGAAAATGAAGTAAAAGAATTTAGATATTTTTAAAAGCAATTCTAATTCTAAAAATCTACTTTTGGCCAATTATTTGGATAGCGTTATGAAATCATTAGGTTGTATTTCATTTGTTATTTTCTGTAAATTTTAATATGCTAATGAAAATTAGTTTTAGTAGAATCCTTAAAAGTGTCATTTTAAAACATCCATATCTGTTTATAATTCTGTTTCCAAAATATAATATATTTTTTATAAGCTCTAGAAAAATTTCATATCGATTCGTTTTTTTGTAGGCTAGATATAACCAAAATAATATTTTATTAAATTTAAATAGTATAATATTATTTTATTAAGACATTTAAGATAGAAATATTTATCATCCTATAATGGGCAAAAATGTTAGCTTGATATTTTAAGCTAAAATTTTAAATAATTTAAATTATAACTATACAATAAAATATATATAAATTAAACATTATTTTTATAATTTAATAAAGTCATAAAATAAAATATAAACAAGGTTTATATGCTAGATTTTGAAATTAAGTATTACATGTCCTATGGTTCAACTAACCCCTATATAAATTAAAATATTTTGATATTTCCAATGTCAAAATATAATATATTCCAGTTTGAGAAAAATAAATTGGGCAAAGAATATGTTGTAAAAAAAATGACAGAAATATTCAAATTTGTGCACATTTTAGGGGGAGGGGGGGGGGGGAGAAATTTAAATCAGGGTCTCTTTCAGATAATAGCGAGAATTTATCCCCCACCCATGCATCATATTTTTGTACATGTTTACGAGGTATTTAAAGGTACTCTCAAAGCCATTTTATCAATAATAAAAATAACTACCTCTCATTTAAATCCCTTACAGAATAATAAATTTAAAAAAACGCAATTCGCGCCTATTATTGTTTTATATTTTATCTCCGCCCTAGCAAGTAATTAAAATGAGTAATTTATTCGCACTACTTTTTCGAAAGAAAATGTGTTTATTGCTAAATAAATCGCGCAATTATTTTACTTTGTCATTTGCTATAATACCTAACATTGTTTTTTTTAAATTTTACAAATAAAAATGCGAAATTTATTTATATACCATTTTGAATGAAGATTTAAATATTTTGTATATAAATAGCGTACTTTTAAAAACGATAGATTGATAATATCTCATCTGGCCTAAAAGTTTAAAAAAAATTAACATATAAATTTCAATGAGAAAAATATTTTGCATGGTATTGTCTGTATAAAAAAATTTATTGTATGATTTGATATTAATTAATAATTTACAATAACAAATATACGGCTTTATAAAATTCGAATACTATAATAATTCAACCAATTATTATATTTTTATAAAAAAAATATCACATAAAATACAACCTATAAATATTGTGCGTTTATAATTATAATACAAGATTATAATTCAAATTCGATATTTTATTGGACTATGAAGGAGAGTATTTTAAGTAAGACAACGAATTTTTCTTTAGGATAACATATATTCCTTCAGGTCGTATTGATTGTGAAGAATATCTCTAACTTCCGTCAAAGCTCTTCTATCCTGTCAATTTTTTGAAAATAAATAAAGATATTTGAAATTTTTATATTAATATAATAAATAAAATATAGATGGAGGAAATTGAGAATATAACAGGTAATAAGGAGAGAAGTAATATGTTAAGAATTGTATTTGAACATACTAAGGGGAAGGCAAGAAACTAGGTGAAAGGAAGAACTATAAAACATGACCCCAAGGGAAATGTACGAAAAAAGATTGGGCAAAGGTTGTTGAAATCATGCAAAGAATGGGACTCATCCTCAGATTTGTAGATAAAATGGCTTATCATGGTAACCTAAAGGCTAATAATTTTAAAAAGACCAAATTCCTTAATAAATATTAAATCCGGATACAAAACGAACTTAGGCTGGATTTAAAGTGGGATCAGATCTGACATGATTTAACAGCTGGGCGATTTTAAAAATCTTATGATGAGATCAATTTTTCTTTATTGAAATCAATAATTCCTAGTTTATTATTATGAATAGAAAAGAGAAAAAATTAAAATTAATTTTAAAAAAATTGATCTCATAAACATATTTAAAAATCGATAGTTAAATAGTATCGGCACTATGAATCTAGCCTTATAGATTACATAAAAAGTGATCTTATAACTTAGAAAACTTTTAATATATAAATATTTACATCGGCATTTAAGGTTGTAATCTTGTACGCCTTTTGGAGCCAAATAAATGCTTCGTTCTTGTCTGGATTTCTATGTGCTAAGTGACACTAAATATGTATTTTACACGTATTTTTTTAAAAAATATAACACCAATAATTTTTTAACAGAATATACAACTAATATAATTTATCAGAACTGTAGTTATGAAATTAAAATATATAGCACTTCCCTTTGCAGATTATCATCTTCAAACTCGTAAATTCTTATGTTTAAGAAATGATAATGTGAAGTAATATACTTCAAGTTAGAAGGATATTATATACTCTTTTCTTTACTGTTATGTTTTATCTCCCCACTTGTCCCGTACAACTTATTTCTTTTCTTTACGTTTTTCTCCACTTGTTTCTTTTGTTTTCCCATCTTCCTTTATTTTGTTATGAAATTGATATATTATACCTTATTTTTATATTGCATTTGAAACTGGTTCTTACCAGTTTCATGAATGATTGTATCGTGATTAAATAACAACTTTTTTTTTCTTTTTGTTTTAAAAATTATAAAGGTTGAAAACAAAATACCTTTTGGATAATTAATTATTTTCTTTCGTTTTGAAAATTTATATTTTTTGTAACATCGATTTTACTTTGTTGAATAAACTTTGAAAATATTATTTTAACTACGTTGACCAAGTGATTCCATGACTAAATCGATAAAACCTAGCCCCCTGGATCCCGTCATCGACCTTCCCGGACCCCCGATCACGGACTTTATTTTTCCCATTCAGACTGGGGGACCCATCGGTCCAAATATAACATTTACAATGTATAAAATTCTATATAACAACCCGCATTATTAAAGATTAAAATAAGTATTTTATGATAAATAAGCCCTAGTTCATAACAACAACTAATCTTAAAAATAACTCGTAAAAATATAATAATCATATATTCCCATACTACCAAAATTTTAAACGACATATCATTATTATATAATCAATTAAATATCATAGAAAACGGAAATGATTAGGAGTAAACCTCCAGATTTTTTAAAGTTGGGAAGTATTGTTAAACGGCTCTTTTTGAGCCAATTTTCAAAAAGGGCTAATTCAATATTTTAGCCAGAAAATAGCTAGACTGAAGATTTTGCTCATAGAGGGCACAAAGGTCTGGATATTAGCGAAATCTCAAGACTTAGGCAATATGGGTTAACTGTTTCAAAAAAATGGCTCAAATCGTTTAATTATAAATGATAAAAATTAAAAACGGGAAATATTTTAAATTATTTATAATACGATTTCGAGTCCGTAAATTCTAAAAGGCACAAAAAAAATCAAGATAAAAGTTAAAATATAGTTTTTGAGGAGGGGTGGGGGGAAGGGGGGGGGGGGTTAAAGTGAATATTAAAAAATTTAAATCGAAATTACCTTGGCAATATAAAGAAGATTTGATATGAAAAAATCGGGTTTGAGTCGTTCAGCCTTTGTTTTATGTTTTAAAATTTAAAAACATATATAAAATAAATACACTCTTCCCACTATATAACGACACCGAGCTCAAATTAAACTCGTAACCTTAAAATGCTAAATAGAATAAACCTATATTCTTATTTTTGATTAATTTAAAAGAAAATAATAGAATTATGTAAATAACTAAAATCTCAAGCTTTCATTTTTACTAATCCCATTACAAATATAATTACAAATTTAACAAAAATTTGTCTTAATTTTGGTCCAGGCTTGATTGAAAACAAGGTATTTTTTTAAAAAAATGATCAAAAATATTAATAATAAAGAAAGCTAACTATATCTAGTAAGTGGATAGATGTAAATGTAAGTAAATTGTACATTTATTCACTTTTAATTACTAATTTTCCTTATCTATATCTACAATATTATCGATATATTAAAGTACTACCCGACCAAACACAGGCGTGCTTTCTACTATAGGAATGGATTCGAAAAATGGGTGCGATTGTAGGATTCTATAATAATAATAAATACAGGGTTTCATTTACTTCAACAAAATATTGTAAAGCCTTTTCGATTGTGGTCGACGGAAATTCTGGAGAAAAAGCTCGAGCGGCTCTCAATTCTAACCAGCTGAGAGATGCAACCTTAGATTTTTTAAAAAAATATTTCTTTATTTAAATATTGATTATGATTAAGCGCATTGCACAGTTTCAGTCATATATATATATAGTATAGTATATTTAATTGAATCTTGACCCGGTAAAAATGGATATCTCTACAAAATCCTTCCCTCTTAGGTATATAAAAATTTGCCCCCTTAATTAATGAGTATTTTTTTTAAAAAAAGAATAATATCTATATTATTTAGTTGGCTTCGCAAAAATAGTGGTCGCACTTCAACGGGCAATTTTTATAGAAATTTCGGGTTGGCAGAATTTATCCTACATTACATATCCAAGGTTTGTTTTAAGAAAATGTGAGGATGCAATATAGTTGGGAAATTGGCTAATCCAACTCAGTCTCCAGGGACGTGCTGCTAAAAATATCGGTTAAGAATTGAGGCATAACCTTGCTTTATTGAGCTTATTTTTTAAAGAAAAATCTCGAGGAGGTTAAGGTGATAGTTATCTAATAAAAAAATCGATTTCGCCATTTTTGGAATCGGCTGTAAATGGAGCTTTTAATACCAACAAGGCCATAATTTATAAATAATTAAATGACGATTAGTGAGGATTCATTCGAAACCGGTTCGGACTTTTACACAATCAAAAAAATATATATTATCGGCTGCATTCAAATCGAGATTAAAAACCAAATGACATCTGTTATTTTGTCCCAATCAGTTTGGTCAACTGACTCTCTTTTCTTTGGAATTTTTTGTTTGTGGAGCGAACCGGTTGGTTTTATTTTCAGTAATGACGATGATCGTAATAAATATACAACCTTAAAATGCCATCTCCCTAAGAGGTAATGGACGAGAGGATCATTTTGATCTTCCATCAAACACGATTCCGCGTAATGTTTGACTATTAAGGCATTCTTGACTCTGTCCGAAATACTCACGTATTCTGATAAATCTCCCAAAGTTATCGCGCACCTATGATAATTTAGAAAAATGTCTATCATTATACATTATAAAGATTTTTAAAAATATTAATATATAAGTGTTGCTAAGATTGTAATAGAATTTTTCCTTCCTTTTAAAATTAAAAAATATATGGTTAATCAATTTTTTTTTAAATATTGTTGTATAAATAAAATTTAGACAAGGATAGCCTAATTCAAACGATATTTTTTGGGCGCAAACTATATTTTCCTACGATTCGGAGAGCAAAATTTTTATTAAAAAAGCATTTAAAAGTAAATTATAATGAGAAAAATAATTAATGGGTCAATGGTTGCTTACACGTTACTCTTTATTATTATTATTATTTTAATTTAAAAAAATAATAGTTAAATTACCATTTTTTAACTTCTGTATTATCGGGATCTAAAGTTTCGGCGATTTTGGAAAATTTGTGAGCTAAAATATATTATTTTTAAAGTATTACAAATATTTTGCATATAATATTATTTATTTAATTTTAATATAGAAAAGGAGCCAGTAGTCTTGGTCGACCTATACCTGCTACAACATTATCCATAAAATATAGGCCTTACCTCGTGACCGAACAAAAATATTAATATTATTTATCCTTCCTCTTCCCCCTATTCCTACTTTTTTGCTTGATTTAAAATAAATAAAAATAAAAAGTGTCTTTAAAAAGAGGCGGGAAATATTTCATATTCATTTTATGTCATTTTTTTTTAATGATACACAGAATTAATATACAAACATAATTAATTTAATTATCAGTTATTTATTACTAAATTATAAATTTATAACATTAAAATATAGAATAACATATGAATTGAGAGGATTAATTTCAATTTTTATATAGTCCAGATGCGAATCGCTTCCTAAGTCTCTTCCCACCCAGCACCCAAGTGGAATTTGGGTAATTCCATGATAAATCACTCAGTGTTTCAGAAGGCCATTTTAAAAAGTTGAAACTTAGATGAAGTTTAAAGAGATTCTATATTTTGTAAAAAATCAAACTCTAGCTCAAATAACCAGAGTATGGGCTTTCAAAGTTTTGAATTATAATAATCCAATTACTAGATAAATATTTAATCCAAAGTCACAATTATATTTCATTTTATAGTCCTTAAAATTCTCCTTGGGAAATTATTAAAATTATTTTTAAAATATCTTCAGGTCCTTGTATTTCCGGTAAAACAATAAATAATTTTGAAAAGGGCTTGAAAAAATGAAACTCATCAAATATGTTTATTATCAATATATTTAAATATTTAAGTAAAAATATTAATGGAAAATATAAAAATTTAAATTTTATTTAGTTTTTTAATTTCGTGAATAATAAAATAAATCATAGAGGGCGTTATCGGTAAAATAAATATAATCATTTTTAACCATTAATATTTCTATAAAATTATTATATATTCTCAATTTTTTTTTAAAAAAATACATTTTTTTCATACCACAATAAAAATAAAATATATTATAATTATTTTTAACGAAAGCGCCCTCTATTATTGATTTTTTTTATTCCTAAAATTATAAAAAACTGAATAAAATTTAAATTCTTAATTTATTCATTAAATATTTTTACAAATATCTTGGTAATAAATATATTTTATGAGTTTCATCGTTTCAAACGTCCTTTATAATTAATTTTTATTCCTAAATTATAAAAAAACTGAATAAAAATGCGAGTTTCATCGTTTCAAATTAGGGCCTTCTCAAAATATTTTTTTGTTTAAACAGAAATACAACGACTTTGAAGATATTTAAATCTTTTTGAACTTTGAAAAGGTTAAAAACCTATTTAAGAAATAGCACCAGTAAAATATTTTTTTAAATACTGTACAAGAATTTATATTTTATTGTAATTATATTTTTTTAAAATAGTTATTTACAATAAATTTTTAATAAAATAATCTGTATAAAATTTCTATATTTTGAAATATATTTTAATGTATATTATCATAAAATAAATACATAGTTAAATAAAGGGATGTCATTTATACTAAAGTATTTTGATAGTAAATAAAATTCTATATAATGAAATTCTCTGCAAAATTTTGTTATATACAAACATTTAATTAAAATAATTATTTTTAACATATAATAAGATATGTTGAGTAATCAAAAAAATGGGAGGTTGGGGGGAGGCGAATTTTTAATCTTTGCAGACCGAATGGATTCAATTAATTTACAATTGGCTAAACATTGATAAAATTTTGAGAATAATGCTTTCAGTCGCTAATTAATCATAAATTTAGTCAAAATTTTGTTACTAATATTTTTTCATTCATGCTGGTTACTATACTGTTTAGACACTAATAAAGCATAAAATATTGGCAAATTTTTAAAATAGGGTTTGGGGGCGAAGCTTAAAAATTTTAAAGTATTAAAGAGACTTTTTACAAAATTTTTTTAGAATTCTAAAAGAATAATCAAAAATCTTACTTGAACATTCTCAAAAAAGGTCAAAAAAAATTTTATTTTTAATCACAAATTATTATTTACAACATAATTTCTTTTTATTATTTAACATGACGTTTATAATCTTAATTAATTGCTTGTCTATATTTTAAATCAAATTTTACTTTTACCCCCTTTTATTGTATATTTAATAACACTCGTAAAATACAATGTGTTTTTATTTTTGCATATTACTTACAATAAATGACGATACATATATAATATATAACAAAACCTTAAAAAAAAGATATGGTATAAATTTTACTGTAACTTTTTTGCAATTACAGTTTTATAACTTAATTGGTTAATATATGACAAATTTTATCTAACACAAATAAATACAAATTCATTTTATCAATTCCTGATTCTTTTTTATGTAAAATATCTAATATATCATCTACAAATAATTTCCATATTATCAATTGCCCCTCTTTAAGTAGTGATTCTAAAGTGGATCCAACAAATTTAGTCTCGGCTACACGAAGAAAGTATAAAAAAATAATAAATATAGCGAAAAAAAATTATTATCTGTACCCGAGAGAGAGCGAATGAAAATGAAAGATATCGCAAAGTATATAGATATGTCTTTTAGAGGTCTACAAATCATGGCCCGAACCGAACGGGTTCTGGGCCGGATTTATTTTTAAATAAATAATTTCGGCTCGGGCCTAATATTTGTAAATATGATATCATTAAATTTTGTCAAATAAATTGATATATTTTAAAATTCTTGCAAGAAACGAGACGTGAATATTTTTTATTCGTATAATATTTTCTTACAATCAAAATAAAATTAAATTTTTCTATATTAAAATAAATTCAGAACGGGTCGGGCGGAGAAATATTTTTTATTTCGGGTCGAGCTTTTCGGGACAAATAAAAGAAATTCGTTCGGGATCGGAGGCCATGCTTGGGAAATCAGGCCCGATACAGATCACTATTGTCTTTATTGTTTATAGGAGACCCTTCCAGTATCCGGTGAATAATTATCTGGTATCAATGGTGTTAAGTAAGATCATTACCATCAGAGTTAGGAATCTGACTCTATTAACTAGTCAATATAGTTTGGGAAATTGTTCTATTTATAGCTCTTTTCGTCGAATTTTATGCGGATTAAAAAAACGACTACGCTAAGTTTTTAGTCTAAAAATAATTTTAGCTTCGAGTTTTTAAAAAATATATGTAGCTCAACTTTGAAGAAAGAAATACTCGTGTCCTTCATACGGCACGCACCTGTAAATTGAGCCAAATTAGTCAACTTGGTAGGTAAAAATATTTGTATCGGGTGATATCTAGTATCCCGATACCATTGCCTAAATATTCCAAAATTGACTAGTTTAAACGAAAAGTATACAGGGAATCTAAGCCCCTCCAAATTTTTCTGTAAGAAAATATCTGGTTAAAAGGCTGGATGAAGTGTTAACTGGTGAAAGCAAATCTAATATGTTTATCTTATTTATTATTCTATATTTATTTGGGTAAATGTTAAACATTGCAATTTTATTAAAATAACATAAATATTTCAGAGAAACATTTAAATTTAATACCTTCAAAGAAATAATGTTTTGATTGTTCCTCGTTTTCGTTTTCCTCCTCGATTCTGGCCATGTACCTACTAAATTTAGCTTTGGCGCAATAAAATTCGGGTTCCTTTATTTTTAATATATAATATAATATTCGGATATTATTCTTCCCGTGTTATATAAGAAAATAAAATTTTCAGCATTTTTTTTTAAAAAAAAAATTGTATACTAATAAAAATAATAATTAATAGTTTAGTGCAATATTGTAATTGTTTAGTATAAAATTTGTCAGTTTTTTCCATTATTTAAATTAAGTAGTAAAATAATTTAAGAAAGCTACATAAACTCTTTTTAGCATATTAAGACTCAATGGCCTATTAGTGAGGGCCCAAGACCAGTTCAGCGCACTCCACAGTCAGAAGCTTTTTTAAAAAAATTGATTGGCTGCATTCTAGCTCTTTATAAACAAAATAAAATCGTTATTTTATCTACCAAAATTGGTATACAAAAGGGAGTCTATTTTTTTCTAATCCTAACTGGAATAAATTCCATGGTTTTTCTAAAAATAAATTTCCCCTTTTTTCGAAAAGCCCAGGTCGGTCTTATTTTTTTTAAAAAAATCGGGTTCAGGGCTGTGTCGGGCCTAATATTTTTTTTAAAATATATATCTAAATTTATCATTTTTTGTTAAATCATATTATATCAAAAAAGGCGCTAATATTGTTATGTAAAATAAAAAAACTTGACGCTATATAACATATCTTTTATTTTGGACAGTCCTGATGATCATTAATATGGATCAGTATAAACTGGTTCTGGTGACCTTCACCATGGCATATAGCTAGCATAGGGTAAAATCAAACAATTTAATGTCAATTTTAATTTTTGAATAATTTTAAAACCTTTAATTCAATATTAAACTCTAAAATATTTAAAAAAAGTAAATAGTTTTTTTTATATTTAAGGCTAATGGAATTGTGAATAGATGAGATATTTAAAGGACATATTTTTAAGCTATCGTTTTGGCAAAAATAGAAGTTGGGATAGGTGAAAGCAATTATTGTATTTCCTATAACTTTAAGGAATTTAAGGCCTCATGACCATGGTTGCCAGGCATAATCTACAGGCTTGCTTAATATTTTTTTTAATAAATATAGTTACTAAGGGTGCTCAACTAAATTTTTAAAAAAAGTAAAAACATTGAATTATAAATTAAATTCATTTTAATAAATAGTGTACCACAGACATCGCCAATTTATTAGGCGACAGCAAAATCGGTGCACTGACAAATGCAGCTAAAAAAAATTAAAACTGCTGCTATCAACTGCAACTTTGGCGTGGTATAAAATAAAATAAGTAACGATTTTTTTCATTTTAGAATAAAGTAGTGATGAAATAAATATTTTTAAAAAAACTAGAAATATTTTTTTAACATATGCCAATTTTAATCAAAATTTTATAGTGTAAAATAATCCTATAAATGGAAAATATACTAATAATCATAAATAAAATATTTTTTAGGAGCATAGTTCAACAGTCAACAAAATAGATATTTAGATAAAAAAAACAGTTAAATAATATAACAAAATAATTTACAATTTAATGCAATTAAATTGAATTGATAAATTCACAGCCATGGCTGAATAACATATTAATGAGTACAATGTATCCAGTAGTGTGGACCATAACATATTAATATATACTTAAAACAAAAAAGCTAATAAGCAAGGCCATTTTTAAAATCTAGCCCAAGCATATATTTTTTTAGTTGGGCCAAGCAAGTAGGGTAAATTTTTAGATACCAAATAATAAATCATTTACTTTGAATTCACATTGAGAGAGAAGATTATAGACTAAAATATAATTTATGTCACCCTTTGATTCCAAATTTTTTATATCATTTAATATAACTTGGCAAGAAGATTCTAAATTGGATAAACTGTAAAAACAATAAAATATATGATATACAATATTTCATTATACCTTTCAATTGTATCAAAAAACTCATCTTCACCACCAGCATCTGATAGTATGCTATTTGATTCAAACTTATTCAGTTCATTATTGGTGTATAATAATAAATTTTCTGATGATGACTTGGAAAATGCATACATACCATTGTCATAATGGATTGGTTTAGCATCTGTTGCATCATGATTATTTTGGCGTTCTTCCATAGATAAAAATCTAACGTTCTTTTTTGACTTGTTAAAATTATTTGCTATTAAACCATTATTCAAATGATTTTGGTCATTACAAACATGATTAATTCCATTGTTCAACCTATTTTTAAGATGCTGCGACTTGCGATTATAATGTGTATTATGATTTATTATTTCATTATTATTCATAGAATTTTTATTAATTTGATGGCTTAAACGTTGTATTTCTTTTTTCAATTTAACAATTTGATCATCTTTTTGATTCAATTGATATAGTAGATATGCGCTCGCAATCACTGCAGCACATGCCGAAGAGGCTACAATGATTAAGGATAATTTTGAATTCGTGTTATCCATAGTTGTAAAAATATTTATAAAATTATAATTTTGAGCATAAATTTTATTTTAAATTTTGAGTAGTCGAAACGTCGAAACATGTATGTGACCAAACGGAAAAGGGCGAATATTTAATAAAATAGAGAACTTTTCTAATATATTGTCAAAATTAAATTTCTTAAATATTGTTACAAAAATAGTGTCTTATTGAACACAGGGATTGACAGACAAGACTAATGAATCCACATCATATGGTTTTGGAGATGGAGGAAAGTTCGAGAATGATTGTTGAGGAATATTGAATGGGATGTATGTTATGTTTATATTGGATGTTTATGATTTACTATTATAATGTTGTTATCTGGATAATTAATATAATTTGTACAAATTGTTTAATTGATGGCAATAAATTACATGTAGTCCAAGGTTATATATATGTAGCAGATTGGCGACGTTATGGTATTAACCTGATCATAGGCGTAGCCAGGGGGGGGGCAAGGGGAAATCCCCCCCCCTTCAGAAATTTATCACTTTTTGTAAATATCATTTTTAGCTAATAAAAAATATCCCCCTGTCCTCCCCCCACTCCCTGACCTTCAAATATGTATGCATATATCTTAATTAATAATTTTAAAGAAAGAATGTAAAAGTTGATATTTTTTTATAAAACTATTCATCATAATTTATAGATTTTTTGGAAAATAAATTTATAAATATATAAAATGAACCAAAAATGTTTTTTAATAAATGGAATCTAAGCCAAAGATAAGTCTTAAGACAGAAGTGAAATGTATTATAATTATTAATAATAGATCCATAAAATTAATAAATAATATAATATATCAAATATAATTTTTTATAAAGTGAGTAATTTTAATTTATTAATCTTAATAAAAGTTAAATATAATTTTAAAACTATTGATAAAATTAAATCATAAAATTAAAAAAATATTAAAGCACAATACAAACAGTGGAATATTATATGTCGTAGATTTACAGTATATCTATTTATCAAATGACAATCAAGTAATTATATAGCGAATAATCTATTTTCCAGATAACTATAAAATATTGATAAGGACATCAAAAAATATCTTTTAAAGACATTGTGGGATAAATAATATAAAAATTAAATTTAAATATCATTTTTCTTAAAATAAATAGATGGCGTTAAATAATTAAATGAAAATTGTTGCATATTTAATATCAGGAGCATTTATTAGTAAGATTTGTTAAATTATTAACTGTAGTATATTCTCTAACTGTCAAATATGTCTGTAAAAGTGGAATTTTACCTAGTATTTTATAACTAATTCTATATAATAGAGTAAAATCAACTATATGTCTACTTACTTTTTATAAATAAATTACTTATAATTGTTTGGAATAAATTATTACCATGCATTTATATATTAAGGTATATACAATACAAGTAATTTATTATATTTTTATTTTATATAAACTAATAAAAATATATTTCAGATTTGTTCCAGGCTTATATTAAAATTTGTAAAAATATTTATGACTATATATAGACTATAGTAACCCGGCCAAAGACCCAGGAAAAGCGGGCCGAAGGCCCGCCCTAAAGGGGGTCTGGGGGCGAAGCCCCCAGTAGTTTTTTAATTCCCCCCCCCTTATGAAAATCCTGGCTACGCCTATGAACCTGATCAAATGAATATTACTGAATCGTATTGAAGTATGAACTATTTTTATACATTATGAAAAGCAATATGAATGCATTGGATATTTTATAAAATTGAATTTGGGATAAAGATACAACTGTGAATCTGAATTTAGACAATGAATAAATTATGGAATATTATAATGAATGAATTATGATTATGTGATGGTTCTGATATTGAATGAATTATTACAATTGCTGACAAAGATCAATTGGGTGATGAATGAATTGGCAAAAGGAAGAAAATAAGAATTAGCTAATTTGGTACAAATGAAGAATGAATTGAACGGATTTTGGGTAATGATTATTATTTATTATGGAAAAAATTTATCAAATATGAAGAGCTATCTGGCATGAACAAAGTAAATAGATTCAAATATGATTTTGAGATTATGGCTAAGTTGTGAAAATTAATTTGGGGATTAATTTGAAATAGTGATGATATGAAATTAATTTTTGGAAATTGATTACTCAGTAAAAATTGAACATTATGTGAAATAATATTCTGAAAACGTGGATACTAATGATATAGTAAAATTACATGGCAATTTGGTTTTTGGATTATGATTATTGATCTAATTTAGACATCACATTAGGAAAGAGTTTACTGATAAACTTGACTAATATGGACATTGGGAAAGTAGTTACTGATAAGAGAACCTGGCTTGAACATTGAGGAATAGGTTACTGATAAAAGATGGCTAATTTTAGGGATTGGAAATATAGTTACTGATAAATGAACCTGGCTAATTAGACATTATTATAAAAATTGGGATGGGATTCTGGGTTATCACATCATCACCTGAATATGAGGATGATTAGGGGTATGAATTAGCAACCATAGCTCCCACTCCCTATTCAGAAAATAATTATAATCGATATTTCCCATCGAAGACACTCGAAGTTAAAAAGGGATACTAAATCGATGAGGCCCATAGACATGGACAAGTGATCCGACTACTCAGTTAATAATAATAAGGAGGAGTAGTTGGGATAAAGAGGAAATTGGTGGTGGTTCTTGGGAAAAGCGATAACGGATTATCAAGGATCGGTCAACGTTTAACACTTATGGACTGCCCATGTGAGTACGCTTAGTGGCAATGGTGGGCTCAAAATTTATGATTAACGCTATGCTGTCCAAGCGATAACGGGATCCTGGAAGACCGTTCAAAATTTAACGCCAATGGGACAATCCTTGCGACAAGGCAAGGTTTTCAGGATTATATAAAAGGAGTAAGGGAAGGGGGGTGGTATAATTAATGATTAGCTATAGCTACCGACCACAGGGATTGATAGACAAGAATAATTAGTCTATATCATATGTTTTGGATGAAGGTTCGAGAACAGGATTGCCATGTCTACCCCATCAGCGGGAAACTCCCGCAATTTTTAAGTTTACACGTAGACATCTATCTCCCGCAAAACTACAGCAATTGGAAATCTCCCGCAAAAATCTACCGCAATTTTTAAAAAAAAGTATTTTAACGTTTTTAATATGTATAAATAATAATTTTGAGAGACATTAATTGATTATTTTTATATTTTTAAAATAAATTTTAAATATTTATTTGAAAAACATATCTAGTTTTTAAATTTCTTTCTATCCAGTTTTTATCCAATAAGAAATCAACATCATTTCATTCATATAAGTCAGAACAGGGAACTATATCAACATCGATTGCAATACAAAAATATTCTCAAAAATAATAAATAATACAGATGCAACTACATTTGCGGAAATCGTATACATCTATCATGTTCGAGAATGATTGCTGGGGATTATGAAATTGGTTGAAGATGCTTATAATGGATGTTTATGATTTTTTTATTATAATGTTGCCAGCGTCTACATGAGCGGGAGGGGTAGGAACAGTTTGCATCCTATTTTTTGAGGGGTTAGACTGCTTTAATGGGGGTAGGATAAATTTTTTAGGGGGTTATCTATTAAATTTTAAGATGAAATAGGACAAATGTATTGCTGTAAAAATTAATACTTTTATTATAGAATTTTTATAATACAATTCATCGACCAAATCTATATATTGCAAACAATCATACACATTGTTTTTCAAATAAACTATCCTTTTAAATGTAAATTAAAAGCTTTAGATAATTCAGCAAGCTCATAATGCCATAATAATTAATTCATTGTAAATAATGGAGGTTTTAATTGAATTTATTATCTAAAAAATAAATTCTTTATATTCACAAAATATCGATAGTTGGTAGTAGAGATAGATTAATTTAAGTTATACTTTATAAATGAAAAGAGTATTAATAAATAAATAGATGAAAATAATAATAAAGAGTCGCCGCCAGAAGGCGGAGAGGATTTTTTAGGGGGGTAGGCAAAGGTTTTCGAAGGGGGTTTGCATCCAGTGAAAATCCTGTCATGTAGACGCTGAATGTTGCGATCGGATATAAATGATTAAAATTATTTGAATAAATGGTTTTAGTTGAAATAAAGAATTTCATGAAGTCCAAGTTATATATACATATATATGCTACAATATTAAATATAAAATTTAAAACACACATGCTAATTTAGATTTAAAATTGAAATACTTGTTAATTTTTCAATAATGGTCTCATCAATCTATTTAAACAGATAAAGCAACTAACGGCAAGCCCAATCTTTTCTTAGGAAGAAAATTGTTGATCAGTTACTTATGACATGGGTTATATGCCTGCAATCAGGGATCTCTACCATTATAGGTAGGGGTAGGAAAAGGGGTCGAGGAGGGGGAGGTTATGACGTAAATTTCATTAAAATTGAATGAGGGCACTAAAGTTATGAAGCCGCTATCGCCATTTGAATAAAATTGAGAGCGTCAGGGGTTAGTTTATATTTAGATTTCGTTTTTGTAGCTTATTTTTATCTGAATTTCTTTTTATGGCTAAATATAATTTAGATAGTATTAATTAATAGCCGCGGGCTAAGTAGAAAAGAAATTGAAAGAATATTATATATAAAATTCCATCTAGATGTTAATTAAAATATAAAAAATATATGAGATCAACAGGGATGTATTGCAGGGGGGGGGGGGGGGGTAATCCCCTCTGATAATTTTATTTTGATTTTCAGCCTCAAAATATTAAATTCTTATCCATTTTTCATTTTATTATTTTAATTAAAATTAGAATTAGAATTTTTATAAAGTCAAGAATATAAATTGTTTTCCTCTTCAGATTTTTTTATAGCCAGACTAATAAATTGTTTTACTCTTCATATTTTTTTATAATCAGACTAAGCCTTTATGACATAGAAGACAGTAAAGCAAGTTTTATTTTTCAATATTTTTATTTCTATTTTATTATCAACTTAAATAAAATTTTGATTTCTCTCATTTTGACATTTTTGTGGACAATCTAAAAAATAATCAATATTAGGTAAAGAAGATAAATCTC